TAGGCTTGAAAAATATGCCTGGCCACAGTGGGATTTGAACCTACGACCTTTGGAATACTAGCCCAAATGGCAATGCTCTGTCAACTGAGCTACGCGGTCAGGTCGGTTTGAATCCCAATGTGGCTTGGCATATTTTTCAAGCTTGCCCGGTGTGGATATGCACTCAGAGTAACATCACACAAGCATCATATTCACAAATATCATGGTTATTAGATTACACTGATATCGAAGGAACTAGACTCAGTTCCGAAATATCGCATACTCGAACTGCCCCGACTGTATAGCTCAGCTGGCAGAGCATTGAGCCAGTATTCCAAAGGTTGTAGGTTCAAATCCCACTGTGGCCAGGCATATTTTTCAAGCCTGCCCAGTGTGGATATCCACTCAGAGTACGTAACATCACACAAGCATCTTATTCACCTGAGTACATGTATTACACCAACACAGCAAATATCTTGATGGAATGAATTGGTCAGCCCGAGGTAATGTATTGAATCAATATTTGAGGAACACTTAAAATAAGGTATGAATCGCATAAAATGCAGATATCAAAATCAAACATTGTAACTCGAGCATAAAAATGTGCATATTTGTTTTAAAAGGCGATTGTTCCTTGAATGTTCAATGAAATAGTGCCATTGCCTTTTACAAGGAAGACCATTATAAAGAAATACACTTGACTTTTCTTCATTGCCATCTGGTACTTAGTACAGATATCCCATATTTTCTTGATAAATTCATACCTGAAAGCGGAATACATACAGGTGTAAAAAACTTTAATGGTGATATAAGTGCTTTATATTCCAAAGAGTTGCTTTTCCCCACAATTTACTAATAGAATAAACTGTTATTAAAATCTCTAAAAAAACCTTTGTCACTCAGGGAAATTTATAGCAGTACGGTTTTCAACAAGCTATATTTGCTTAATTTTACTTGCTGGGGATTGTTATAATACTCGTGTTTTAAAGAATAATCTTGATAGTCAGTACAAATTCACAATACAACAAGAATTGATAAATCATTTCAATGACTTACATGCTTTGTTCTTGTGGCCGTCAAGCTCCATTCATGTCTTTTTTTATTAATGGCTTTCGGTCTTTATTGATTTATACGCGAAGTTAGAATAATACTGCATTTTCAAAAGGATGAAAATCAAAAAAATATACTCTCTGTCGATCAACTATATAAACATACAAAATCACTGTAAAATCCAGGGGGGGTTGAACTTTGTCGCCCACGAACATTCGAGCCACGGGTCAGTGGAAACCCCCATGATGATGTTAAAGGGCTTAAACTAAACCAAATTGTCTGAAATTTTGTACAGTAATTAAAAACCCGACAAATTTTCCATTTATTAATTCAAAATATGATTACAACTTTTAAATTTTGTGCATTTTTAGTTTGTTGGAAAAGACACACCCCCTGGTTCACAAAATTTGAGTTCGAGAAATTTTTTTCATTATTCTACATTATAAGTACCCAAAGAAGCTATATACATAAAAAGCCGGATACAAATAGGTGTTTTGCGAAATTGAGAGCAATTTCAAATCTGTTCAGTTTTTTTTGATACACCCTGTATACAGAGTACAGTAATGACTATACGTATTTGGAGTATAAAACTTTCTCATTGTTATATTAAGCTGTGAATTATAATCATCAAAAGTATTTATTTGACGTACGTGGTTATGCGTATTTTGTCGCTGCTGATTGTCTTACAAATTTAATTCTGTTAAAAATATTTCCCAGACCCAACAAACAAAATGTCGCGTTGAAGCTTATGAGGGATTAAACTAACTTCTAAGTAGTTCCAGTGGTGGCTTAGTTACTGGTACGTATTTATATCGAAATGTTGAGGAGATTTCATTCGAAACCAATCGTGCCATCACTGCCATGATAATTTTTGTCGATATGTTGTGGCGGAAATACTATTGACCCCCATTGTGTCATTTGTGTATATAAAAGAATATTTTCTAAAGCACTCGTGCGACACTTGTGAGTATTGCTTGTTGAGTGTCTGACCTTAGGAGTTGAGAAATCTTGATTTATATTATTTTATATAACTTTCTATTTCAGTCTTGAAGGTCTTGATATCTCAGGTATGAGCGGCAAAAAGATTTGGGCAGTCTTGAAAAAGACTGTCTCAATCAAGTCTGAAGAAACACGAAAACAAGAGGTTGAATCTCTGGCTGAAGCCGACCCAGAACTTTGTATTCGTCTCATAACAAAACCTACCGTACAAAATTATGCTGGGATTAAATCAAGAATAAAAAAGAGCGCAGCAGAATGGATGGAGGAATTCCTAAAGCTCGGGGGACTAGAGGCATTGTTTCTATCGTTAGAAAGACTGAGTGATAAAAGTGTCTGTAGTTTCGTTGATGCATTTATTCAGTTGGAAGCTGTTCAGTGCATTAAAGCCGTGATGAATTCGAAAGCCGGTCTCGAATATATGATCGACAGTCAAAACTTTACCAGAGAGTTGACGACAGGTAAGTTATACCTTGTTGGTTTTTGAAATTGACTTTTTATTATTCTATCGTTGGCGTGAATGTTGGATTAACAATTACATTAAATAGTTAAGATATGCATGCAGTCAAACCAGACAATTAACACTAACCTATTTTCAATTTGTTAATTAGCAATGTTTGTGTTTGAAATTTTCGAGTTATTCATCCCTATTCTACTAGCAATTGAACTCCACATGAGCACTAATCATAGACATGTGAAGTTTAGAGTTACCACCCTGGGAACTGCTGAGTGTTAGTAAACATTGAACAAAGTACACGAGACTCGAGGTTGCGTGTTCACATATTTTAGTGATTTGCGTGATTTTCGTTTGGTACTATTGCTTTTGGCTTTACCTACATGATCAAGGTTCAATGTTTGCATATACCTACATGTATGTACAGACGAAACCGAAAGTATATAAATCCAAATGTATTATTAAAGTCGATGAAACAATATCGTGATGGCGCTTGTGCAGTGATTTAAATCAAATATTGAAATTCTATTTTGAAAGGGTAATAGCATTTGAATCACAATATCTTGAAATTAGTAGCTAGTTGTTCAAATTCGTGGTGTATAACATTGTTTATTAGAGAGTTTAAGATCTACGACGCGTCTGAATTACTGCTCAAGAATGAGCGCAGTGTAATAAATGTTTGAAGCGTTTTCAATTTCAAATAACCTTTCAAACGGCTAAAAGTAAAAAGCGATGCAATTATATGTTTGCTGTAATTTCGACTTTAAGTAACACCTCTTGGCCTTGGGTCGCAATAAGCTTTCACGTTGCTTAAAAGACATGTTGATATTAAAATGTTTAGTTTAATGTTGTGCGGTTGTGTTGGGAATGACAAAGCCACTGAGACCACAAATTATTCGCAGTTTTTGTCTCGCATGACAAATCTCGTTGTTTCGAAAGCGCGTCAGCTGGCCGCGTCGTAGATCACAAACCCTCTATTAGCAGTCATGACGCGTTGAATTGATTGTTTCTGATTGTTCTCTGTATTGTTTTAGAACCAAGAGTTATTTTGCCATAATACCTTAAAGTAGCTATAAGATTATTAATTGACGGGGGGTCAGTTTCGTTTAACCCCATAATGTGTTTATCTTGACAGAGCAAGCAGGAGGTATTTCAAAACTAAAGCATTCTTTATACTGAGTTTAGTAATTATAATAAATGCACGTCAAGCAAATAATAAAGAATGAGGATATTATCAGGGACGCCGGAACTGGGGGGGCAAGGGGGGCGGCTGCCCCCCTTGCCTTTTGCTAGGGGGGGCAGGGGGGGCAGAAGTGCCCTTTTAGTTGTAAAATAATACGTGATAAATCACATTTCCAACGATGCTTTTTGTAGGAAAATCACGAGATTCAGGTAATTTATAGTTTATAATTATAAAAATTTTGGGAAATTTTTGGAATTTAGAAAAATATTTTGAAGAAATGGCGAAAATTTAAGATATCCGGAAAAATTTTTGGCTTCACGGAAAATTTTTGTATGTCCGGAAAAAATTTTTGACCCCTAAAATGGTACACTGACCGAAATTTTTTTGGCAACGTGCCCTTGGTGTGCGTCCGCCCCCCTTTGCCCTATTATCGTTCCGGCGTCCCTGGATATTATATCTAAATTTGGATCAATTTTCACCAAACACGTTGTTGATCGTCAAGACAAAGATTAGCCTTTGGTAATCGAGATAAAGAAACTATATACAGAGATTAACCAAACGTACATGAACTTTTAGCACATTCAACCACTTCTAAGTTTATCAAGCACTCAGTTTATCACTAGTCGCAAAGTGGAGGAATCCATTTTTCAAATGCATAATTCCAATGTACGTAATTTGACGGAATTACAACAGTGAAAGTGAAAAGACTAAAATCTAAATAATGACAATGTTTGCCTCTTGGCCCTGTGTTTCAACATGTTATTTCTTTTTATCAATGACTATAGAGTCTATACTGTCTATATATAGTATGGAAACAAATGCGAAGACCCGAGGTGAAGGCGAAAATGTTCGAATACTCAGTACAGGCAATCAGGGGCACACATTCAACAAATTGCTGGGGGGGGGCGATCTGGGACCGACTTTCCTTTTCTGCAACAGACAATTGTGGGTATACGATTGCACAGAAATATGCAAATGCGTGGGTTGTAAGTTCATGGGTTGTATTGATATATGGTATTAGCGAGCTTAAGCATGCAGGACGGCAACACGACGACGACGGCCAAAACAAATTCCTTCAAATAAATGAGAGTAAAGAAAACTTGTCGTATATTATAATTCGTATGAATTTAATACAGTATAAGAAGTTGAAAACATTGGCTTTATGTTTGGGAAGAGTTCTACTGACCGAATTTTAAGTTGCACTTGTTACGCCTTGAAATGCAGGCGTTGTATAAAGGACGTGAAAATCGTTGATTTGCCGTTGTAAACAGAACACGACCACGTCTGAAACTCCCCTGGGACTTTAGTTATTTATTTCTTTCCATTGACTCATTGTATTGGTTGCCGTCGTCGTCGTGTTGCCGTCCTACGACCTACATGCTTAAGCTCCCTAATGACATATTGCCAACGTACTCTGCTCTTGTCGGTTCACATTTATTGACAGGATTGAATAACTCGGACTTACAGCAGTAAATCGGGACCGACTCTCGACACACTCTCATGCAAGAAAACTCGCACCGACTTTTTGTGATTTTCGAACGCTGACGGGGGGGGGGGGGGCTAAATAAACGCCCCAAACTCATGTCCGCTCCTCAGCAATACACCTTTCACGCTTTTACTTTCAGGCAAATAAAAAATCCAGGAGATGGAATAACTATTTGACAATTCGACTAAAAACATTGCCATATTTTCACTGTATATATGCCTTCAGGCAAGTACGTGCCTTAATAGGTAATCGGAGAAGTGTTTTTATTTCTTTGACAAAATTTCCCATAAAAGAATATTTGTTGACAGAACCTGAGTCAATAAACGTGACCGATAATCTTGCAAGTCTCCGCTTCCGGTGAATTAAATATTTGATATTGAATTTGAAATTAAAAATTCACAGATATTAACAAAAAGACTTTTTGTATTGTATTGATGTTTGATAGTTTTGTATTTGCGGTCTTTTCAGGGCAGGGGGGGGGGAGTAGAGTTTAGCACCTGGTAAACATGGTATTCAGATAATAAACCACCAACCGACGTATATCAACCAAATGTAAACATTACTGCTATATAAATTAAACCTTGCCGTGCCAAACAGTCTGTGGCCGGTTGTTGAAAGGTGGATTAGCGCTAACCCAGGGTTAAAATTTAACCCGCTGTTTTAGTTTGCATATTTCTACATGCCCATTTATTTCAAAATGTCAGAAAAGAAAACTCCTATTGTTCCAGACATGATTTGTGAAGAAATATTTCCAAATTTAGAAAAAAGCTGTTAGGAAGTGTACTTTTAATTTTAAGTTCACCTAGGATTAAGCTAATCGGCTTTTGAACAACCGGCCCCTGCATATTTACTGCTGCCCACCCAGTGTGACGTCGTGTCCGTTGTCATGACCCTGTAAATCATTGTTTTTGTTCAAAATCACTGACTTCGCCAAAAATTCCGCGAAGGTCACAAAATATATTCACCAATTCTAGAAATAACTTAAACAGTCAATATCTGTATAATTCCCTGATCATATTTAAAAAGGTTGTCCTTCCAAACTCTAAACCTTAGGCTTAGACCTTTTAAGGTCTATTGAAGCTTTTTTAAATATGATCAGGGAATTATACAGATATCGACTATTTAGGTTATTTCTAGAATTCGTTTTATATATTTTGTGACTTTCGTGGAACTTTTGGCGAAGTCAGTGATTTTGAACAAGAACAATGATTTACAGGGAGAGTCATGACAACGGACATGACATCACACTGGGTGGGCAGCAGTAAATCTACAGACTGTTTGGCGCGGTAAGGTTTAATTTATATGGCAGTAGGTTTATATAGTTGGTTGATATACGTCGTTTGGGATCTTGTCTAAAAGTACACACGAGTGACCACGATTGACCACGAGTGATTTCTGTGTTTAAAAATCATAAAATAATAATATAAATTATTTTGAGATGGCTCCCCAGGGTTTTTGCATTATATTACACTATAAGTCCTGTTTCTTCACTTTACATGACATGAGACGAAATTTATTGGACACATTGACAACACTCTCCTGAAAATTACAACGTGCTACGTTTGTGCTGAAAGTCCGTTACCATGGCAACAGCGTGCTTAGGATAAAACTAAATATTCGCCTTTTCCCGGCCATTTTAAAAATTCCCTTTGGTAAATTTTTTTGACTGGGTTTTTCGACTATTGTACACGTCAGATGTGATGATTGCACACGTCACATCTCGCAAAAAATGCGAAAATTTAAACCTAAATTTCTCCCTTTTCCTTCGGTAAAACTTTGCACATTTAATTAACAATTATTCGCCGAAGGCGAGGTGATTATCGGGGAATATTCGCCGAGACGAAGTCGAGGTGAATATTCTCCGATAATGGCACCGAGCCTGAGCTATACGACAAACTCGCGTCTTACTTAAGTTGCGTCTTATGTAAGTCGCGTCTTATTTTGTTCCGTATAAATGGCCCTAATGTGTCCAATCGAATAAAATTCGTCTTCATGTCCAAAGTGAAGAAACAGGACTTTTCTGGATACTATAGTATAGTATAATGCAAAAACCCTAGGGAGCCACCTTAAAATAATTTGTATTATTATTTTATGATCAGTTTTAAACACAGAAATCACTCGTGGTCATTCGTGGTCACTGGTGTGTACTTTTAGACAAGACCGTCGGTTGGGGTTTATTATTTGAATACCATGTCTACCATGTGCTAACCCCTACGTACCCCCCTCCCCCCAGCCCTGAAAAGACAGCAAATACAAAACTATCAAACATCAATACAAATTAATTAATTCACCGGAAGCGGAGACTTGCAAGACTACCGAGTACCGGTCACGTTTTGTTGATTCAGGTTCTTCTGTCTATAAATATTTTTTATGGGAAAATTTTGTCAAAGAAATAAAAAACTTCTCCGATTACCTATTAAGCCACGTACTTGCCTGAAGGCATATATACAGTACGTCACATCTCGCAAAAAATGCGAAAATTAAATCTAAATTTCTCCCTTTTCCTTCGGTAAAACTTTGCACATTTCTTAATATTGGCTTAACAAGCTAGTCCTTAAACACAGATAAATAAATTCACGTGGTGTTTCCACAAACAAAACTATTATATTATAAGCTCAACTTCATCCTTTTTTCTTAAAAGTCTATTGAAGGCAAATTTTTTAATATTGATTTGTGAAGTTATTGAAATTTTCAAAGGAACGTTCGATAGAATTTTTTAAAATCGAAGAAAAAATCTTTATACGAGAAATATCTTTTATGCAGCAAATTTTAAAAACATTTACTACCGAAACGAAGGGAAATTTTAAATGGTCGGAAAAAGTCAAATAGTTATTTCATCTCCTGGATTTTTTATTTGCCTGAAAGTAAAAGCGTGAAAGGTGTATTGCTTGCAGGGGCGCACATGAGTTTGGGGCGATTAATTATTTTCTTTAGTTTAATTTCAAATTCAATATCAAACATTTCATTTAAAAACTTTAACTATAACTGTATATATAAGCGCGCGGTAAACTAAATTCCTTTATTCATTTATTAGTTCTAGATAATCGAAATACAATGGTGAAAAAGCAAGTGTTTGAATTGTTGTCTGCATTATGTTTATACTGTCCCAGAGGATACTATCTTGCAATGGATGCACTTGAAAATTATCGTGTAAGTGGTTATGTAGGATATTGCGATATGGTTGCAAAGGTTGAATCAAAGTAGGCGATATTAATTAATATTGTGAAGCTCAAAACTCAAAACAACAAAAGAAATCATGAGCGTGAAAGAGTTTGTATATCTGATACAAAATCATGCTGATATTTAAATCAATATTTTAAATTCAATTTTTTCACCAAATATAATTTATTTAATGTTTGTAATGTTACTCTGAGTGTGTATCCACACCGGGAAAGCTGAAAAGCCGGTGTTTTTTTGTTTTTTTTTGAGCACGGTGAGAATCGAACCTTTGGCTTTGCTTTGGGATACTAGTCCAATGGCAATGTTCTATCAACTGAGCTACGTGGTCAAATCGGTTCGAGTTGGTTATATTCCGGAACTGAGTCTAGTTCCTTCGATATCAATGTATTCTAAGATATGATTATTTTGTGTGTGTTGGTGTTATGTACTCAGGTGAATATGATGTTTGTGATGTTACTCTGAGTGTGCATCCACACCGGGCAAGCTGAAAAGTTCGCCTGATCCCGGTGTGGATGCACACTGTTTGTCACTAAGGGTAACATTACAAACATCATATAACACATATTAACACCAACACGCACAAAAGTATCATTCATTTATTTTAAATTGTTGAAGAATACGAATGTTCTCATCAAGACGTTTCACAAGCCATTTATAACATGAGTGCATGCATGGTCATGTTATATCGTATATATACAATACGAGAGCTTGCATAATCTGATACTACACAGACCCCGATATTCGATAATCACCGAGCTTGAGGCGAATAATTGTTTAGTAGTATTTTTACAAAGTCTTTTGTGTTTTTTTGGGGACTGAATTCATTTTAATTTCGCCTATTTCCTTCCAGGTGATCTTGTGTTCGTATTTCAGCGCTCAGAAAGGGTTGTCCGAATATAAATCCATTTTGATGTATTCAGTCAATTATATCTTTCGTTATTCTTTATGAAACTAGTTGAAATTTTGTAATTATGTTTGGTTATGAGAACTATAGCTCTGATAAAAACATGGAATCGAAATAAAGTATATTACAGGAGATATTCAGTTGTTTTAATCATAAAATGGATTTCTATTTGACAACTAGTGCCAGTACTTTTCCGCGTATCCAGATCATCTGGTTGTCAGTAAGTTCCACAAAACGGCTAGCCGCCATTTTGCAAATTTCGGTTTGTCAGTATATTCACCTGTAGGTGCATGAATATAACAGCTTTTAAGCTGTTAAAATACCTACGTTAAATTTGACCAATCAACTTGGATTTGTTTTATTCACTTGTGCAAAAACACTAAAACTCAATATTAGATTTTTTCATATGCATGATGCCTATTTATTTATTTATTTATTAGTTTCACCATATTACAAATAATACAATACATATATAATACTATAACAAGAAAAATATACATGACTATACGCAGGGTGACCGCAACAGCGTAAGTACTGCGAGTCCGAATTAGAACATACAAACATAAAAAAACTTAAGAGGCTGAACCAGAGTTATTACACTATAGGTACATATAGTTTTGAATGTTCTTGGATTTTCAGGATTGTAGGAAATGTCTAAACTGACACGGAAGTAATAACTTAGAATGGTAGATTTAAATGAGTTCAAATTTATCATGTTATATAAGTTTCAATTCGTCAGCCAGGCTGCATGTTCCACACCCTGGTCGAATTAGAAACGAGCGTTAATTGATACGTCGTTGTTTTGCTCCTGGGAATGACAAACTTAGCTATGTCCGTGTTTATAGACAATCTGGTCGGTCTGGCACTACAGAAACTAAGTTAGATATTATTACCTGCAGATTGTTCATAATCAGTTTAAAGAAAAAAACCAAATCCAAAAACTCATGCCTGTAACATAGTGGAAGTAATGATAAGGACTGTAATCGCGAGGTAGAACTGTCCAGACTGGAAAACGGCAGATAGAGAATACATTTCGTGGCACGTCTTTGATTTTTTTCCGGCCAGATCTGGGTGACATATCCTAAGTGAGGGCGTACTAATGTTAAATACAATGCCCGTGGGAATGAACCGTGCGTTCCGTCTGACACTACCTGTATCTACATCGGCAAAATAAATAACAGACTTTCTTTCATATGTAGAAAAAATTAAACGCAGATACGCGATCGACGACATGGACACTGTCATCATAAGAAGTACAATTTAAAGCCGCTAGTCTGTCCTTTCTCCTCCCCATGTTACCAGGGCCGCCCAGAGCTTTCGGGGGGCCCGGGGCAAACTACCCTCTTGGGAGATTTTTTTTTTTGGGGGGGGGCCTTCCACTCCCTAAAATTTCCTTTTGGGCGGCTCTACATGTTACTATAGGGACAAGGATGTTCTCTGTCGTTTTGAAACTCGCGCAGGGACTGGCGGGACTGGTGCATGCAGTGTGAGTTAAAGAAAGATTATCAAGCCTGTTTCAAACGTCGCGCTTCTCACGTGCCGAACGCATTAATAGAAAACAATAGATAATTAATCAGCTGAAATGCCTCATTATCTATCTGTGCGTTCGGCACACGAGAAGCGCGACGTTTGAAACAGGCCTTAGTGATAAAATAACAAATAAACATGCTAATAAAAAGCACATAAATCACACAACTGCATGCTGTTCGCATATATAAGGATCCTTGTTTGACAGTCTATAGGCTGTATAAATCTCCGTTTCTACATCTTTAACTATGAATATTTATATGCATGCTTCCAAACACAAATGCTGCTGTATACAGCTATTTCACTAAATTAAGGTTGTCCCCAAGCAAAGCGGAAAAGTCGAATACGAGCGCGAAAGGCTTGCTGGGAATCACTAAAAAACTAATGAAATTTTTAGCGATTCCCAGCAAGCCTTTCGCGCTTGTATTCGACTTTTCCGCGCTTTGCTCAGGGACAACCTTAATTGAAATAGCTGCATGTATACAATGAAACGAACTAACGTCATTTCCTCACTCTAATAGTTGTTGTTTAACCCCCACTTGCTGTTGCACATTTATTTTATTGCTTAGTGAAACCCACTTAATTAAAAGCGTTTCTGTTCCAAAACGTCTTTTCTCGCATGACTGATTTGATGATTTCGTTAAAAAATCTACCATTTTTCTTATATTTGTTTTAGTCGACAAAAGGCCAACGCTATCGCTTCAGTGTTGTAGTCAATGAAATGAAACATGTGGAAATCATTCCGTATGTGACGTCATGTGTTGCTTTTGTAAATGCTATTATAATGTCCACTGATGAATTTCAAGATCGCGTGAAAATAAGAAATGAGTTTATTGGTGAGTTGCAATGTTGACAAAATTAAAATTAACACGATGGACACCGTCCTCATTGATTTTCTCTTAAGAACTATAAATAAGGGATGACAGAAATATGTGTGTCTGTTGCAGGCTATTTTACATAAATTTTGCAATCTCATTTTCCAGGTCTTGGATTGTTGGAACAATTAAATACACTTAAGTAGGTATATTTATTCCTTTGCATGCTGATGCATGACGTCATCTTGGCTTGTTACAAAGTGTGGTTCGAATTGCAGTTGCACGTATTGAAACCAGGAACATTTTCTACAAAGGCGGCAGGCCTGATAGCGCTATCCACAAGATAGTGACTTTGATGACCAGTGTAAAACTTGCATGAAAAGCTGTGGAAGTACAGGACGAAGTTGCCAATACTAAACATTAATCTAGGTTATACTAATCTACGACCGATTTAGACTGAAGGTTGAAAATGGCATGTATAGCGCTATCCAGCCGTCGTACAACCAGCCCCAGGATAATTGAGCAACACCACTCACTTTAAAGGTTAAATTTTAGAAATACAAATGAGGTGTTCAAACATTAAATCTTTTTCAGGTTGAAAAAACTCTGACATAAATGTTTTGTAATATTATCAGAAACGAAGAAGATGATGATTTGCTTGTGCAAATTGATGTCTTCGAAGATCAACGTTACAAAGATGAGGACGAATTTGGTGGAATTAATTTAAACAATCACAGTGACGTTTTTCAAGCTATATTTCAAAAGGTAGGAAAATATACTCTAACACGTAATCCCCAATTAGTAATTCTTGAGAAGTGAAGTTACAAAGTCTAACTATGGTAAAAAGGCTACTAATAAAATAATTAATGTGGTCAAACACATTTCTTGAGCAAAGATTGGGGCCGCTGTATATACTTCCTGTTAAACAGGAAATTTAATCAAGGATATTTGATGGAGAATTGTGAAAATTCAAATCCCTTTACTAGATACTGTAGTTCCTATGCCACACAAAAACTGCGCATGCGACGTAACCAGCTTCTCGCAATGAATTTAAATATTCCGAAACTAATAATATATATGAAGACTTTAGCTAAAATCAATTTTTATTCAGAAGATTGGCCAAGTCAGCTTGAAACGTTAGGTAATGATTTCGGCACTGCTGAACCATTGCACGAATACATAACATATTGAGTGGGGTACATCTATTTTTTTTAGATTTCAAGTAAACCATACGCTATGAATTTTTTAAACATTCTTCAATCATTGTTAACTTTGGATGATGATAATGAAATAACTGACCAGAAGTGGGAACTTATTGAAAACTTGATAACGAAAATTTCTCTAACAGAAGATCTTAACAAGATGAATATGATAGCAAAAGGTCAAGATATGCTTGCTTTGAAGCAATCCTCTGATTCTTCTAAATCTTATAATAAAGGAGATGGACGTACATCTAGTAATGCTAACGTTGGTTCACAAACGGAAACTTCCACTCATGATAAATCTACATCAACTGATAGCAAGCAAGATACAAAATCAGAAATCTCTTCCGTTCATGACATAGCAAGTAATACATTGAGTTCAACGACATCAAATATTCCTCCTCCACCGCCTCTTCCTGGTACACCCGATATTCCTCCCCCACCACCTATACCTGGAGTACCTGGAGCCCCTCCCCCACCCCCTCTTCCTGGTGCACCTGAGATTCCTCCACCACCACCTCTACCTGGAGTACCTGGGGGCCCTCCCCCACCTCCTCTTCCTGGTGCACCTGGAGTTCCTCCCCCACCACCTCTTCCTGGAGTACCTGGAGTTCCTCCCCCACCACCTCTTCCCGGAGCAATTGGAATTCCACCTCCTCCCCCTCTTCCCGGGGCACCTGGAGTTCCTCCTCCACCCCCACTCCCTGGAGCACCTGGTATTCCTCCCCCACCACCTATTCCTGGGGCACCAGGTGTCCCACCTCCTCCCCCGGGTGTCCAACCCCCTCCCGCAGGTGTCCCTGGTGTTCCTCCACCTCCCGGAATAGGTATGGCACCTCAGACAACGTCAACTCCACCAGTCCGACCTAAAACCAAAATGCGAACATTACAATGGGCTAAGTTACCTCCTGTGGTCGTCAATAAAAATTACAAGAATGTGTGGATAAGAGTCGGGAAGTTAGCGCCAATTCAAGCCAAGTTTGAACTTGAAGAAGAACTATTTTGTCAGAAAACTAAAAAAGTGGCTGCTAAGAAAGATGACAACAAGAAAAAAGAACCTAAAGTGGTAAGTATTCAAGTAGTCGTTCAAGTAGATTTAAGAATAAGATGGGGGAGAGGAAACTGCTCATTCCTGGTCCATATGATTTTTCAAAGTATTCTATGTAAGTGAACGTAGACTAATATATCTTCAAACGAAACTCTAATGCATGTGTTTAATGTTGCTCTTATATTAGATCAACCTCTTGGATCCAAAACAGAATCTAAACATAAATATATTTCTCAATCAATTTAAAAGGTAAAAGGAATTTTTTCTTATTATTTATAGATCAATTTAAATAGAATGCGTGTGTCACAGAAAGCTATGTTCAGAAATTATAATATTAATTGTGTAAATTGCCATCAACCATTATATTCACTTTCCTTTTGGTTTTCAGACCAATTGATAAAATAGTCGAAAGTATTCGTGCCGGAGATAGTAAAGCATTTGACCCTGATGCTTTGAAAGGATTTCTGAAAATTATACCAGATACAACTACGGTAATGTGTGTGATAATTTGTTCAGCATGATGATGCATGGATACATGTAAAAGTTAATCAGAATTAACAGAGATAAAAACAGTAAAGCATATGATGTTCATGAATTATTTTTTAACAATTTATAACATTATAACTACCAAAACAATTTTAACTTTGCAACCAGATTCATCAATACAATTTCTGAACATCCACCATTAAAATTCAGTTTAACATCTACCACAGGGGTTGAAAAAATATTTTTATTTTCTGGGATTTCAATTTGATGTTGATATATTTCTGTTTCCTTGCTGCTGACCACAACAAATTCTGGAACCATGCAATGGTACGCTACCTTTTCCACCCCTTATCCACGAATACAATTTTTAACATTTAACACACAATTCTTTAACATCATGCACCAATACAGTTATCTGATATCATCATCAGTACAATCATCATCAGTATATCATCAGTACAATATTTAGAAGTACCAATATAATCAATGTTGATAATTTTAAAGGTTGGTATGTTGAAAGATTTCAAAGGTGATAAGAATAAGCTCGGAAATGCAGAAAAATTTCTTCTAGCTTTGATTGTGGTACCTCACTATAAACTACGGTTGGAAGGAATGATTGCTAAAGAAGACTTTAAATGCACGGTTGATATGCTTAATGAGAAAATTGATATATTGCTCCATGCTACTGAAGGTATAGATATGATGGTAGTCTATTTTAAACTTAATAAATTTTCATCTGAATACATATCCGCTTACACCGAACTTGTTTTGGGGACGTCGACTAACAGATTTCTTACCATTCGTGGATTGTTTCGCGAAGGGAAGCGGAGTTTGAAATTCAGGATTACAATACTTTTGAGCGAAATCTGTGATATTCACTAGTCCGCGATGGGCCACAATGTGTATGAAAGTAAGAGATAAAGCACTTCAGGAATAAATCCCGAAGCCTTGTTCTCGATTACCGCTTTGAGTTTTAAGATCCTACTGTTGAGGTCATTGTTATTTATTTGTAATGTGGCTTAGCTCGATCCAGGATGTAAACACGAAATATACTATCAACTATTTGTCCTCTTTTTTTCTATCAAGAAATTATCTAAAAATTTAGTCAACTGTTCACACTGTTGATCAACCTGATACACGGGGCCTTCACCGTAGTATCAGATTGATTGTTGATCTGATTTATTTACAAGAAATGGTGAAACTGGGTCATCTTGCGATATTTGACTTTTCTCTTCACTAGATATTCTGAACAACGAAGTTCTACCTGAGATTCTTCATCTCATATTAACCATCGGAAACTTCATGAACTCGGTAAGAGACTTGTCAAAATATACTCTTAAAAGTTTCTTAGTAATACTAAATACGTTAGGACGCAGTTTGTATGTGCTTCAAAAACTTTATCTGGGGTTTGGTGAATTAATAGAGCTTAAGACTTGTGCTTTATTCTGTATGGATGTTGTGCTTTATTCTGTATATGAATGTTCAGGAATGACATGTTGATAGCAATACATAGCATTGTTGTTTTTTTTCTCAGGGTGGTCGAGCTGGCAACGCCATTGGATTCACAATCAACTCGCTGACAAAACTGGTCGATACAAAAGCCAACAAACCCCGGATGAATCTGATGCACTTCTTAGTGGAGGTAAAATTTACTTGCAGATTTATAGATATAGAACATTTTAGCAAACTACAGAGCTGTCATATATATATATGACTGCATTGATATGTTGCCTTCATCAGCAACTGTATAATTTTTCCTTTTGTACTTAGGTTGCAGAAGAAAAACGGTCAAGTGTTTTGTCATTTTCAGAAGCTATGAAATATTTGCAAGATGCTTCAAAGTATTTGATACAAGTTATATTCCTATTGCGTTTCGCATGATATGCAAATTTGGCTTTCCTTTGACCGATTTTGGTGTAGCTACGTATCTAGTCCTGTTCTTTTGAACAGAAACAAAATCCACCACAACCATAGCGTCATTATTGAAATTTGTGTACAATTTGTGCCTCTTTTTCAATACTTTAAATTCATCAGCCACATGCATTAAACCACGATTAACCAAGGCTATTTTACAATAGGCTCAATGTTGATAACCTCTCTGGTGAACTATCCACACTACGCAAAAGTCTAAGTTCATTACAAAAATCAATGGAAAAAGGAGATAAAGATGTGAAAAACCAACTGAGTACTTTTCTTAAGGTATAATTTTATTTCTAGTTTGTTATGCAAAATATGGCAACAAATTATCTTGAAAGTGAAAACAATAAGCCGTCCGTCATCTTGGATAGCTTATCATGCAGGACGGCAACATCACGACAACACCTATTAATACAATGAAATTCATAATATTTTAGTAAAAAAGGAATAATTAAAATCCCAAAGGAGATTTAGGAGTCATCCTCGTTCTGTTTACAACGGAAAACAGCAGATATTTACTTTTTGTGTACATGCAGCGCCCTGTATTTGAAGCTGCGAAAAATGGAACTCAGCGAACTGAAGTAAATATCTTCTCAAGCATAACTAAAAAACCTCCTTCCTCAAACTGTATTGAATTCACAACTTTCTTATACGATTGATAAGTGATACAACAGCTTTGAGAGGTAATGAGAAGTGATTCGATAAATTAGCATTACACCAATTTTACCAATTTCTTCAATACTTTGGGAATTCAAATTTCTTTTCCTCTCACTGTTATTATTATGGAGGTTCAGATTTGACTTCCACTACCGCTACCATTAACCAATCAGATGCGTTTAATCTACCCGATTAACTAATTAAATGCGGAATATTAAGCCAGTAAGAGGTAGTGGTTGTGGATGTCAAATCTGAACAGGTCTGTTATGGAGTCGTCTATACCACGGCGGTACAGTTATAGAGCTGAAACCTATGTTGCTTTTTCCACTACAGGGTGCTTTAAAAGAAGTGGAAAACGTTGAACAAAAATTGAAACAACTTAGTCAATTAAAACAAGACCTTGCTGACTATTTTTGTGAAGATGAAAGCAAGTTTAAATTGGAAGATCTTCTGCAGATCTTTAAGACATTTTGTAATCATTTGGATAAAGCTAAAGAGGTATGATAGATTATGAATTTTAAAGTTATAACTAGCACATGTGTTGGTGCTGGTGCCATATATTCAAGTGAGTGAATGCCTTTCAACATCAATTGACAGCAACAACTGATCAAATTTAGAACTGTGTCTAGTTCCATGCATGTGTATACTGAACTCCACTACCTCTGTATGTAGACCATTTCAATAACCGAGATGGATTTAAATATTCTTTTCTGCTCACTGATCTTAACAATCTTCTTGGCCTCCTTTTCAGGAAAATGAACTACGTCGCAAACAAGAAGCAAAACAAGCAGAACGAGAGAGAAGAAAGAAAGAAGCGGAAAGTAAAGGGAAAAACAAAATCAAAGGAAAACCAAAACCAGTGATACAAGAAGAAGAATGTATTATTGATACTTTACTGAAGGAAATAAGACAAGGATTTCAGTTGAAGAAACGAAAACTATCCTCTGTTGGTGTTGTTTCACCTGACCTAAATAGAAAACTTTCTAGAGTGTTACAGGAAGGAAAACCTGCTGGGAATGTCATAAAGGAATCGGAAAACGAACATGGTAAGCACTATATATTGTTGCATGTTGGTCCTATGCAGCAATAAACGTTTAATAAAATATTAATGTTGAATATAATTGTTATATTAACAATTTGGGGCCAAGAATGATAAATATAACGTTTCTAAAGTACCTTATCAATATTTTTTACGACTGTGGAATATGTAAAAATCTTCTCATCTTGATTTCTTTTGTATAGAGGAAAAAATTCCTGAGGAAGAACCATGTGATGCAAATAAGCCTTCTGAAACAGGCGAGAAGAAAGTTTTAGATATAAACCAAATTCATTTAATAAACGATTCAACTGAAGACAAGAAACACGGAGTAAATGGGTTGCCAAACCAAACGGAGCGAACTTCATCGATGAATGGAACTAAAATTTCGAAAGACAAGAATGAAATACGTAATGACGTAAACGATGCTTGCGCAAGTAGCAATGACGTGCGTGAAAACGTTGAGAACGTGCATGAATCGAACTGTGATAGCACACATAAAATGTGTAATGAAAACGCCGCCACGAACGAACTCTGTCTTAACGAAGAGAACATAAAGAAAACGCGTAAAAATGGTGTTCACGCTTATGAAACGATTCCAAACGGTGAGATAAAAGAAATAACAGATACAAGAAAAACACACAGTGAATACATGCAACAGAATGGGATACCAGAACGTAATGGTGAGCATCAAAATGGTTTACAGTCTATAGTGAAGATAACTAGCGTATAAATTATTATTTGGTTAATCGGGTACCAGTACCCTCCAACATTATTCAAACACTGAGTGAGTAGGAGTGTTTTATTAGATATAAAACGCGAGGCGCAGCCGAGATGATACATGATATTTTAAATATATATATATATATGGAGCAAGAAGAGTCATTAGAAAGTTTAAGCTTCGCGTTATACGTCAAACGGCAAATGCCAGGCAAAGAAAAATTTTACGGTATCTGGCAAGAAAGAGTAAATGAACTTGCTGTTTTAAAATTGAAATAGCCTAATAATTCTTTCGACGCAAGAAAGAAAATATGAAACGAAAACGTTCAACGAAAATTTTGCCAAGAAAGTTCGAACCTGCCGTTTGCCGTTCCCGGAAACGTGAAGCTTTAAACTCCCTATTCGGCCTATGAGGAAAGGGAAGCCAAGATGGTGGAACTGCTATGAAGGTCGTAAACAGTTGTATACCATTTTTCCATTCCAGCTAAATCCAGTTTTTTCTAAAGGACCGTAACGCTAATGGAAGTCAAACTCCTGACAGCTTCGTGTTCGACCGCGGAGACAGAAACAATAGAAAGGGCCTGGGTTGACGTCCAATAGCTCTTCAAATTCCGCCATTTTTGGCTTCACTTTTTGGACTCGAGTTCTCGCTCCAGATATATATCGAGCTCGCTGTATTCAAACAGCGTATGACGCAATACTGTATTTCAAATATGCTAAATGGGCTATAACACGCTATATTTTTATCCACTTTGCTTTATATCCCACTCCTGAACCCCGATGTTTATAGTTTACAATAACTATTGTAAATCCATGGTAAACGAATCTTGTCTAAATACTAGTCATATCTAAACAAATTAAACTGCTCGTATATAGGCCTACTTTTTACAAAATAAAACACGACGTTTATGTATTGTCTTTGTTTTCGTATGGATTTTATACTTACAAAATCGTTGTGTTTCAGTAAAACTAATAAACTGATTTTTATGCATGCGTGTCCGAAAAATAACGCGATATAGCCCCTTTATCCTCCATTAAGATACAGCATGCAAATTGTATAAATGCTAATTATTTGCAATCATTGACATGTTTTAAAATAGAGAATCAAAGTAGACGTAAAATTTCCAAAATGTTTATTGAGGAACTATAGACGTGAAACATTGATTAATCAGTACAAAATAATATTTACATGAGAGTTGATCAGTCTATTGAGCTTTAAGATAATATGTATAATATTTATAATTATATAATACAATAGAGAACAATGTTGTGTTTTATAGATTTGTATATATGTGGGTTAGCGTGGGTATGCAGTTTGAAACAAGGCCATTCATCATTAACAAAATGTCAAAATCCCGCAAAGTTTCAGAAATTAATTATTATAGTAGTGACTTCTCCAACTTCACGGAAGGCCCTTGACTTTAAAAAGCATGGTATACGCCTGAAAATCCTTAGAAAATCCCTAAAAATTCCTATCAGACTATCAGTTTCTAAAAAAATACTATGAAATCGTCCACCAAAATCCTTAAAAATCCCATAGGATTTTGGAAATTCCAAAAATCTGAAACATTTTTTGGAGTGATACACCCCTCGGTCTGAGTAGAGGGTGAAACATAATTGCAACGCAATCACACCGGACGTGACGTGGTAACGCCTAATATGTGTTACGAGTATACTTCGAAACCTGATAAATCAAGCCAAAGGAAGCCAAAGGGCTTGATTTATCAGGTTTCGAAGTATACTCGTAACACATATTAGGCGTTACCACGTCACGTCCGGTGTGATTGCGTGGCAGCGTGGGCTACAATGCAAATTTGTCATAATAGTGTCTGGTGCTACATTAACATCATCTAGAAACTACCTGATCTATCACAAACGTATGCAATCTTGCGGTAGACGATATTTTACATAACAATATCGGGAACGAGTTCTGTTCGCCTTTTAATCCATTTTTCTGTTCGTTGCCAACAACCTTGGTCCAATATGATCCATGGCCATGCCCATGGCAGCACATAAACAGTCCTGGCAATTGATGTGTTTTCATCCACCTTCCTTTACCAAATATTTTGTGGATCCATTCCGTACTCTCCCTATTTATAAGATGATTTGTATACTTTGTCTCGCTAAATGTCGTGAGAGTCCATTGGAGGATCCACGTTCATATTGACTATACAAGCTCGTCCCTTTCCTGTCCATAAATTATTATGAATATAATTAGGAATGGTAGGAGTCACATTGTATAACAGTCTGTTCTTTTTTATTCTCACTTTGCTCAAATATGATCTGTGTGAAACTTCCAATGAAACTTTGATAAACCAAGTGTTCGCTGCGGTGTAGAACACGAGGGAAAGGAAAAATACAGCGAGCGGAAGATAATCCATAAATAGAATTTCATTTAAATGAAATCGCGACGTCACAATTAGTGTAACCAATGGGAAAATAGCACGTAACAACACAGCAGAGAGACTGGTAACCAGGCTAGACTTGAAATACAGTGTACTTGGTTCAGGCACTTTTAGAATTCTCCAAAGTTTATCCATTTTGAAAAATGCGGTATGCGCTTCAACAACTAACCCCATAGTTGCCAATATCGTATTTTGTCTATATACCAGAGTTGATGCGTACAAGAAAATAGCTACTAAACGTAACACATTCGTTATTTTTGAATGTTTTGATGTCTTATCTGGGTCACAGGCATTCTGAAGTATTTTAAAGATTTGCCAACCAACAGCAACTGAAAAAACAATAATCAAACTTGGACTAGCACTCAAAAATGGTTGTTGTAACACGTCGCTTACAAACAGTAAGATCATTCCAGTCAATAATGAAACTCCAGTGAACATTACATCCAGATACCTACAAGAAAATAAAAATCTTCTGTTGAAATACTTTTCTGTACTATCCTTAGTATCCTAACTACACGTATCTGTGCCAATTAGCCTTTCTCACGATGACGAATATCCGCCATTTTTGGGTGGCATCTATATAATTCTCGTTAACCAATGCACACAATTAAAACAATGTGAAAATCAATTTTTCAGAATAAACTAACCATTTGCAAAGCAAATTTACCATCATTTGTGAAAAACATTATAAAAAGTCCTGTTATGTGGACTTATCTCGCAGACTTCGGCTGAAATGCCACCCAAAAATGGCGGCGTGAGAAAGCCAGGCTAATTGGTAACCGTATAGGGTTTTCGTTGTGATTTCGTTCTTCTTGTGACTTGTTATTGCAATTGTCTTGTGGTGCATGTTGTTGCTCAATTGGCGGCTTTGAAGAATAAATATAACGGGGACGTATGGGGGTACGTGGCTAGCCTACTTTGCAGGCAACTCTTGGGGAATTTAATATTAGAGTTAGTCCCTCGTTATCCCTCGACGTAACCGAAATAAAAACTATTTTATGGGTGGGAAAATCCGAACTATAGAAAATTAGTCTGTACGACCGATTCTGAACAAAAAGGATTTGGTTCGTATATGTTGATTGAAGATTAGTAGCCAAATCGGAAATAAACACGGGACGGCGTTGTCGACATGCAGTGTAAAACAATAAAACATCACAATGTAAACGACATTATGATGCAGGAGTTGTACAATACTGTATATAGGACTAGAAACAATGCTGCATTTTTACGTGAACATAACACAACAACATAATATTCAACTATTCAACATGAAGTAAGAAATTGAGGCTCCATTAAAATTGTTTAGTTATCCGAATCTTGAGTTCTGTCATTCATTAATTTACTTTATGCTGCAGGCGTATTGAATTTCAGAACGATCCTCAGAGATACGAAAAACTAGTTTCATATTAATATGAAACTGCGTATTGAAATTGCCGGGCAATGGGAGTCAATTGAATTGGCAAATATTACA